CCTTATTTTGCTTGTTACGTGCAATAGGAAAATGAGGTTTAAACACTTGTGCACGCTGTACAGCCCCCTTGCTATAGTCCATTCTGTCCTTCAGTCAGACAGCCAAGTAGTGATCACCTACTATGTGCCAGACTCTGCTAGGCACTAGGAATACAAAGATCAAAGATACGGTCCTTGCCCTTTGGGATTTTACCACCTACACAGGGGAATACTCACAGTACAACAAGAAGAGGTGACGGGAAGAAGACTCACCCTGAAGGTCCAAGTCAATGCAGAGGGCCAAGCGGGAGGGGAGTGTGATTTAGAGAATGGGCCAAATAAGGGCCAGACGCCTGAGAAAGCCTGGTGTAATCAGCCCCGCTAAACCACCTCCCTCCCTAAAAAGTGGGCTACAGGAGCTGAAGGCAGCAAGAGGGAAAGGTGGTCAGCTCCTGCAGGGCTTTATTTGCCAAACGAGGGAGGTTAGACTTTGACCTATAAGAAGAGGATGGCATTGAAGAGTTTTAAGCAGAAGAGTAACAGGATCAGATTTGCAATTGGGGTCAGAAGGGGTCAGGACTAGAGGCAGGGAGACAGCTGGGAGGCTGCTACCTCAGTCAGAGTGGGCAGGGATGGTGACCTTGACCGCTGTAGGAGTCGTGGGGGAGGAGGGGAGAACACAGAGCAGGAAGACGTTAAGGAAGGAGAATCAATAGTCCCTGGTGACTGAGAGTGTACTGGCTGAGGCAGGTGACAGTTAACAGCTAATGCTTGCTGAGGACTAAGCACCCTTCATACGCACTTCACGGACTACTGCAGAGACCCCGTTTTACAGGTAATAGAACTGAGGCACAGGAGGTGAATTCATTTGCCCTGTTAGTATGTTCTGGAAAGGGAAGACACAAAGAGGACTCCCAGGACTCTGTTTCTTGGGCGTCACGCTCCACCTCCACATGCTGCTGGTGGCTGTCTTCATGCCCCCTGCCATCTCTCTTTTCTTCATTTTGTTCGTGCTATGGCCCCTTCCTGCAAGGCCCTCCTCCCAATCAGCCTTCAAATATTGTCCCCTCCAGGGAACTATTCCTGACCTGTCCCTCACTCCTCCCAACCCCTCTCCTAAATACTGCATTTTAATTCCCACTTTAGCGGTCCGTTCCTCCAGCAGACCCCGCCACTGTGAGAGAATCAGTGACTCTCATCATTCAGGTCGTCCCAGGTCCAGGCTTGAGCCTGGTACATAGTATGAGCTTAGGAGCTGGAGTTATTCTACAGGAAATGGGTACAGGAGAAGAATTCTGTTTTGGATGTAATGAGTTTCAGATGCTAGAGGCCCGTATAAGTAGAGAAGTCTCCAGACACCTGGGTATACAAACATAGCCTGAACAAGTAAAAAGTTCTGAGTTGGTGATTTCTATTGGGGAGTCACCCGAATAACAACAAAGTTACAACGGAAGTCATGTCCTACGCACTCATTCTTCTCTGCCTCATCCATTCCCATGCTCTACAGTTAGGCCTGGCCCCCACAGAACACCATCCCATACCCACGTCCGGTCATAAATCCTGAACCTCTGGTCTTCCACTGTCTTTAGCCTTTGCTCAAGCCATTAATTCTGTGTGGAATCCCCACACATCGGCTCATTTTCTTCCTTCCGAGCTACCCCTGGCTCCAGGTGCCAAGGCCAAACCCTAATCTGCTTGTGGGCTCCCCATTTGTTACGTGAGGTTAAGTAAGTTCCTCCACTTACCTGTGCCTCAATTTCTTCAAATAAATATGGGGCTAACACTGGATCAATTTCTTAAAGGTTATTGTGAGATTCAACTGAACCAAGTCACATGAAGTGCCATTGTTAACTATTTGTGGCCCAGCAGACCCCACACTTCTACTTACAAAGCAGACAACCTTGTCACCCCATTTTAAAGCCTCCCATTAAGAGACGACTCTGCACTTGGGAAGATGGTCTAGCATTTTGTAAGTGTCTAATCAGTGTTATCCACCTGGTTGACAGTGAGACTATGAAGCCAAGGACAGAACCCAGACAAACACCACCATAAAGAAGGAAGGATCCACAAAGCAGCAACTTAAAGAGGTAGGAAGAAAATGAGGGGAAAACAGTTATAAGAACAATACTGGCTTTGACTGCATTTGCTTCTTGTCTTCTACTTGTTCTCTCTGCTCTAGCCACACTGACCTGCTAGATAGCCTTGAATGCGAGAAGCTCATTCGTGCCCCAGGGCCTTTGCTCTTACTATTCCCTTTGCCAGGAATGTTCTTTCCCCTCATAATGGAATGGTTTGTTCCTTTCCTTCACTTAGGTGTCTGATCAAATATCTCCTAGAGAGGCTTTCCCTGTTTGAAATAACCCCCTCTGTACTCTATAAGCTCCTTGGATCACCAATGCCTTCTTAGATCCAAGACGGACTATTCAATGGCAGGCTGGCAGGTCCAAACACAAGCTCCTTCCTGGTTCAGCCTGGGACACGCCCCATCTGCCATCTTTTGCATGCCTAAGAGTGAATCAAATGCCAGTCATTTCTCTCTGAAAGAGACTTGTCACCCATTCTTGTTCTCATGCACATGGTTATATAATGAGCTAAAAGTAGGTAAGAATTTAAACCACTTTAAGGATAAGTAAAGGAAAATCAGTGGTGAGCACAAAAGTTGGAGGCATTAAAAATCCAGAACTTTTAAAGTTGCATCATCCATTGAACATATATTTATTAGAGGGCATAGTACAGTTATTGATTACCCTCATCTCATTTCACATTTCTAGAATATATGAGTCTAGATGGTTGCCTGAAAGTAAAAAAGTAGAAAGAGCAAGTTCCAATACAGGATAAAAAATGCATATCCAGATGGGAAGTAATGAGGTTTAGTGAAAGTTGCTCTAATGAAATGCATATATACATTCTCTCTTCTTAGGAACCTAAAACACACACTCTATAGCATAACTGTTCATTCTCTTGGCACCCTTGTGCTAAAGATAGGACTAAGGCATTTATTAAATCAGTCAAATGAATATAAAAATTGAACCCTACAAATTCCAGGCTCAAGAACCTTAGATCATCCCTCATGATGATATCTAAACCCAAATCCAACAAAATCGGGAGAGGACATTTTTTAAAGCAGTTCGATTGTCAGAGAGATGATTTGTGGAAGGTTCCAGAGCTGAGCCAAGCTCTCATCAGATAATGATCTTGACAGCATCCAGCGGGTGGGGAATACACTGAATGTGCTCAAATTCGTTTTTCTTTAACTTGTTCACTAGGTTGAAAACTCTAAGGAACTAACCTATCTTGTTATGTCTTGGGTCACTTCGCTACAGACCAAAGATTTACTGTGCACTTTGTGACCAAGTGTACTCACCACTTTACAGAAAGGGGAGGGAGAAGAGTATGTCTAGAATACATTTTAAATAGCACAAATTCTAACTGATACATTTAAATCTGTTTCAGTTCCTTTTAAAGTTCTTAAGAGAAACCTGTGTAATTCTTGGTTGCCAAAAAAATTATCTGCCACCCTTTTCCTTTAATTACTGAAGTGTATTTGCTTTTCAAAAACACTTTCACTTCTGACTTCATTTTCTCCACCTGGGTGCCCAATTAAGCTCTTAAAGCTTCTAGAAATTTATAGAACTGATCCTTAGTAACTATTACTGATGGTATCCACAGGGCAGCATGTGCAATCTAAGATGATGTAGAACCATAAGTTAGATTCCTCTGATAGAAACAGGTGTAAAAATAGCTTTCTGACTTGAATATGCCTCAAACATCATCAGAATGTTGAATTATCCCCAGATGGTAACCCAAGAATGACAATGTTGTGTGTTAAATGTGCTGCAAGGGCAAGAACAATTCACATCCCAGCAGAAAATGTTCTCAGTGAAAAAAAAAAAAAAACTGAAACTAGTACGCAATTTGTAATCTGCTCACAATTTGTTAGTGGTTCACAAGCATCAGTTGCAAACCCTCAGAGCCACCTGAGTGATCATTTTAAACCACTGCCAAGAAGGACTGACCCCTTTAACCTTGGGAAAATGAGCTGGGGACATCACTGACAGGGAGAAAGAAGCCTCCACACCAAAAAGCAGCAATTGCCTTCCCACCAACTCCAGGCTTGGAGATGTCCCTGAAGAACATTCTCCAACAAATGCTCACTACCTTTGCATTTAAAAGGCTGAAACTAGACACTATTACTGCAACTGATTGCAAGCCAGGGGAAAGGAATTTCAGCCTCCTATAACCCAGTCTTGGCAGCACCTCTGATAAAGAACTGAAGATAATTGCTTTTTCCACACAAAAAAGAAATGTTGATTAAAAGCCTTGTTGACTTCTCCAGAGCCTGAGATTTCTAGCTGAGACAGAAGTCTTCATTACATGATTTTGTTTTCCTAGGAATTGTGCAATGCTTTTAAAAAAATAATAATAAAAATATATATTTATTTAGCCAAAGGGTGGTGAGGTGGGGGAGGGGGGGCGGAATAATGCCTTTCCATGGAACTTTTATTTCCAAGCTGATTTTTTTTTCATCAAAAACATATTTTGGTGCATATTATTTTAACCCCATAGCATCTGTCAGAGAGCTGTTCTCATCTCTGATTTACAGATGGAGAAATACAGGAACAGAAAAGTTTAAATAACTTGCCCAAGGTCGGTCAGGGACAAGATAAGCTGTGTGAACGCAGATCTCCTAACTCCAAGCCTCACATTCCTCAAAAAGGATTTAACCCGTATGCCTCCCCTAGGTGTTCTGAAGCGAGGGTAATTTTTCTGGAGTCCCGGAGCTCCCAGACATGTAAATTTGGGGCGTTTTTACTCCACCGACTCCTTCTGCAAACACCCCCTTAATGGTTCCAGGCAGCCTCCAAGCCTGCAGAGCATCGGCTCCAGCCCCGGGCCAGCGCACCCCGCAGCCGGCTCCTTCCAGCCGCTCGGGAGCCGAATCCCGAAGTTTCCCAGGGGGCCAGGACGGCTCCCGGGCCCCGCCCGCCCCAGCTGCCCCGGAGCCCGCCACCGCCCGTTACCGTATGCCGTGAGGGAGGCCATCCTGGCCCGCGTCCTGCCCAGGCTGGCCAGGGCTTCGGCGAGAGCGGCCGCCCGAGCGCCGCGCCCCTGGACGGCCGGCGCCTGGCGCGCCGAGTGCATGCGCTTGGCTCCCGCGGCGCCCGGCCGCCCCGCTGCTGGGCATGCCCAGTGAGCCCGCCGCGGTCGCCCGGAGGGGAGCGGGGGCTCGCAGGTGCCCGCCGCCGGATCCCAGCTGCAGGGCGTGGGGAGCAAGCACGCGGACCCGCCGCCGCGCGTGGGGCCCCCGCGCTCCTTGTCCCCGCGGGGACTGAACCTGCAGCGGCGGACGAGCGAGCGGGAGAGAGGAGGGGCGAAGCAGGCGGTGGGAGGTGCCGGGCGGAGGCGCGCGGGCGTTGCTGCTCCACCGGGACTGGCGTCGGGCAGGACCCCAGATGGTCCGCGCCCAGCAGGTGCCCTCCAGGTGGGGGCGACAGAGACAACGCGGGCCAACGGATCCGGGAGTCGTGAGCGCGCCAGTCTCCCGGACCGCGAGCCTGCAGCTCCCTTGCTGGGGAAGTTCCACTGGGGAGCCCGCCCGGGGACGCAGGGGTGGGACCGGCCGCCTGTGGCTCAGCGCGCTTCCCAGCCGAGGGGACGGTCTCCAGAAGGCTTGCCTCCAATGCCGAAGCCTAGGGGAGAGGGTCCTGCGCACTTTTAATGAAGTCTTAGACCGCCAAGCACTCCAGCAGATCTGCCTACCCCGGCACAGCATCCTGTCACATTTGTTCGTGCGTCTGTCTCCCCACGAGGCTGAGACCGGTGTCCCATTCCACTCCGTCCCGCGCTTCGACGAGGGCGCGAACTCAAACTATATTTGTTGAATGACTAAATGTCCGAGCGAACCCTTCCCAGCTCACCCCCCCTGGAAGCCTACTCGCCCTGTGCGGGTCCTCGGTTTGCAATCAGCTGGCTGGGAACTGGGGCGAGGGAGGTAGACACCTTATTAGCTAGGGGCACCCATGGTAAGGCTTGGGAGCTAACTGGAGGAAAGGGGAGGCCGCCCGACGACCCCTCGGGGTCAGGCGCACCCGATGCCTTGCAGTTCCCAAGGGAATGTTCAGGACGACGCCAGGAGCGCAACCGGGGCTTCCCGGAGCCGGGCTGGTCTCCCTTGTCACCGGGCAATCGTGCCTTGGAAAATGCCAGCGCCCTACGAGTCGGGGGGCGATGCTGTCCAGTCCATTTAGCTGCATTTGGGGTTGTGCCAACTCGGGAAGAAGCACAGAGAAGGCTGAGAAATCTGGCCGCGGCAAAACCAGGACTTTCTTCAGAACGCTCCCCTCGGCGCCCGCCGGTCTACCCCAGCCTTCGTGCTCTTTCGACCCTGGCGTCCCCGCTCTCTAGGAGGGCAGCAAGCGGCAGCGGGCGACCCGCGGCTGAAACACTGAGAAAATGTCCGCGTCCACACTTCCTCCATTTGAGCGCAAGGCTCAGACTTTGCGGAGGGCGCCAGTCCCGCCACAGGAGTGAGAAAGCGGGATCCCGCTGGCCCAGCCAATAATGACCAGCAGGTGACCCCTAGGCAAGACCCCCTCTCCGAGCTTTCCTTTTACCCACTTGTAACCGTTGTTACTGTCAAGCCCACAGCACAGGATAGTGGCTGTGACCGGGTGGGACACTATGCCTGAGGCTCTGTGAGGTTGGGTCTGCCTTGAACTTGCCCCCGAGGGCTCCCACCTGCCTCCCCCTCAGGTCTCTTCAACAGCACACTCCACCCACCCCACACCGAATTGTTGCGCCCATGTCTTAAGCAATCTGTAAGCCTGCCTGCCCCCAGCTCCAGGGTGTGAGGGTTAGGGTCAGTGGCAGGCCTGCCTCCCCCAGCGTTCCCACCAGCCCCCTCCGAGTCCTCCGTGGCCTCCCGGTTCCTTCTCCCGGCTCCCCAGCACCCTGGGCTGGGCGCTAGTGTCAGCCCCTTCACCTCTAGGGCCCCTCTGTGCTCTTCCGGGGCTGCTCCCTCGAGGTCCTCCTCTGGGCCCCACTGGGATCCAGGGTCATTTCCAGGCTGTCTCTGATATTTGGCTCCTCTCCTCCCTTTTACGTTCTTCACCTTTTCACTCAGGGAGGGTCATGAGGAAGGACAGTCAAAATGAGTTACAAATTCCACTTTAATTCTTCTTGGCAGCTCTTTCCAATTAGCAGGAACTAAAACATAAAGTCTAATTAATTAATTTCTCTTAAGGCCACCTGAACTTCTGCCCACATAATACCACGCCAAGTCCTTCATATGCCCAATCCTCTGAATAGAATTAAGATTGAGAATACTGGGCCTTTGGTGTGAGGAACTGATGGACACATACACCTCATGCCCTCATGGTCAGGTTTGCTAAGCCCTTTTCCGTGGCTCTCAGGCCCTGTGATGTCACGTGACACAGATTTTTAAGCAGCCTCCCTGTCTTCTGGTCCTCAGCAGGAGGGGCTGATCTTCCTACCTCAGATTCTTGAGGGAACAGAGGCCAAAACAAAGAATTATGATACTGTGATGAAGCACAGGGTGTTAAAGAAACCCTGCCTGGAGCAAGTGGTTCTGTCTTTGCAGGATTCACACATGACAAAGGAAATGACATTTAAAAGCTGAGTTCCAGGACTTGTGTTGTTACCAGTGAAATTTCTTAAAGACAAGCTTGTCATTCAAATTTTCTTATGTTTTATTCATTTGCCATGTTCTCAAGAGTAAAATATGAACTGCTACAACCTTGATGAAAGCTATATTCTAAATCTTTCCAGGAAAATGCTTTTTTCAGGTGATAGATTGAAGAAAACTAGTTCTCTTTTCAGCATGCTCTGGACTTGAACTATGACTTCCCTGAATGTGATTAATTGCATTTGACATTGGGAAGAGGCCCTCCGTGATTACCATTTTTAAAATATTTTAATTTTGTAGTTTAGTATCTAGTCTACCAATATGCATTCTTTAAACTATTGCATCTGGAAAGTAATTTAGTTTTTATTTGCCTACAATCAACTTGACTTAGAATTTGATCCATTATTAAAGATGTAACAAACTGAACATTTTAAAATATTGCTGCTATTGACTGATCAAAGCTTTTTATGTCCTTACTTTCTCTGTATTCCTGTAACATTTAACATCTTTATTATAGCATTTATCACATCATGCTGTGATTTACCTATTTACCCATCCATCTCCTCACTGGAAAGCAGGGACCATGTATTACATTTCAGTGTATCTCAACACCTAGCACATTTCCTGGCCCATATTAGGTACTCAGTGAATACTAGTTGAATGAATCAATGTGAAAGAAAAAAGTTTGATTATAGGGGAGGGATGGTTGGGAAGGGTCAGTGCTTAGGAGATTTGAACTGTAGGGGAGTTTTTTCTGTAGATCTTAATCATCTTTCTCACTCAAAAAAGACTGTTGCATGAAACATTTTACAATACACTATGGCCAGGCCAGAGAACTGTTCTCTTGAGTCACAAAAAAGTGGAGTTCTTTTTCTGGAATCCATGAAATTCTTCCTGAAACTGGAGGTTTGGGGGCAGAGTCCATCGTTGGGCTCTATGAGGTTCATGAGTCCCTAAAAACTACATTCAAAACTGGATGTGTATGCACATTTTTCCTGGGGTTGAGAGAGGATTCATAATTTTCATCATATTAATGGAGAAGCTGATTTAATAGAGATAAAAAAATTAATAGCATAGCAGATGTATTTCATATCCAAAATATACAGCCTTTGAAGAAAACTAATTACAATGTTGAAGCATTATAGCTACACATTAGATCCTTTTGCTATAACAAGGAAAAAAAGTCCTCCTTGGATTGTGCTTTAATTTGCTATTTACAGATATATGCAAAATATATAGATGAAATGACAACCTTTGTTTTTCAGAATTCCAAAATTAAACAAATTCAAATTATATAAACCAGTTAGCCCCTCACAGTTAAATCTGGGATTTTTAAATGGAAGTATAAAATCCTAAATTATTATTTCTGAAAAAAAAACACACAGTAATATAAGGTGTCAAAGAAGCAGATACATCAGGTTCATACTTGTCTGTGAGCAAGAATAACACTATTTTGTCACATCCTCCATGTCCACTGAAGGAGCACCTTTACAATTGCACACAAGTATCCCTTAGATGATATCCAGCTTGGAACATTTAATACTGTTCCCTGGGGCAAGACTCCTTGCTCTAAATTCCAGCCGTAATACTCAGATGTCAGCCCCTGTTCCATTGCAACACAAGTGGCCGTCCTGCACATAAACCTGTTCTCCTTGCCTCTATAAATTAGTCTCCCTAAACCCAGAGGCACAGCGATCTAATCTCCTGCAGACATGCAGACAGGCAGGCTTCTGTAGGTTAAGATCCACTCAATAAACCTCTGTTGAATCCCAGTTGTACTTGTCAGCCTCTTTCTGTGGTCTCACAACCCCTTCAGCCTTCAGCCTCAAGGTCAGTTCCCTTAAACCTCCCCTAAGTGGAACAATATTTTAGGACATTAAACCAGAGTTTATAATACATTCTTATAAAATCTGGCAGATTTGTAACAACGAATACTACAATATTTACATATATATTACAATTAATTGCATAAATGTACATGTGAACTCTTAATATATATTTAAGCACATATATAAAGTGCTTATATATATATATATGACCTTGTGTGTGTGTATGTGTATATATATATATATATATAGCCTTAATCAATATAAAGACTATTGAAATAAATACTATTTTGTTACCATTATTTAGGTAAAACTGAGTCCCAGAGTGGCTAATTAACTATTATGAAGGGATGAACCCAAGATTTAAAACCAAATTCCAGAGCTTGTTATCCTGTTTCCAATTGTTGTTGAATATACATAAACCATCTGATTGTTTTGCCCTCTAAATCTAGTATTTAAAATACCATTTTATTTATGTTTTTTTCCTTAAGAAAAAAATAGGTAAGTTGTACTGAAAGACAGTAAGGTGTAATGGTCAAGAAGAGGCTGAACTTTTCCTAAGTACATCAAGGCCAGCCATTTGAAACAAACTACAGAACATGAACCACCATGAGTTCTTATCTCAAAGAAGAAAGCAGATTATTTTAGTTCTGGCTTCCTGATTTCCATTTCTCAAATGTCATGAAAATCTCTCTTCGATTTTTAACAGAAAACCTTTTACCAATAGTATGTGTTTGGAGACCACTTCATGCATTTTTGTCCTTGCATGGATGCCTTTAATAACACATCACACTAATTATTGTCACAGCAAGTTAACTGAATTTAGGATAAAATAGAATTTGCTTCTAGAGGACATTGCCTTCTTATCAATTCTCATCATTAACATGAGAAATTTTATTATAGGATCAGATCACACTTACCTTAAATATGCTTTATGTTGTTATACAAATGACATTTTTTTTTCTGAAAACAGACACATGTATCTCATTCTGAA